CACTGAAGCAGTGCGTCAGGTCAAGACAGCGCTGTGTAAGCACGTCCAGCTCTGTTGTGATATCAGCAGGACATACAGAAGGCAATTCGGACGGGAACTGATATAACAGCAGCTCAGGAACATACAACAACAAAACACTACAAGATTTTAGTCAGATGTCATGTTTAAAGGAACAGTCCATCCAGAAATGGAAATTTACTCACCCTCAAGCTATCGAAGATGTAGATAAGTTTGCTTCTTCCTCAGAACAGATTTGGAGAAATGTAGCGTTACATCACTTGTTCACCAATGGATGCTCTGCAGTGAATGGGTGCCGTCAGAATGAGAGTCCAAACAGCTGATAAAAACATCACAATAATCCACAAGTAATCCACACCACTCCAGTCCATCAGTTAATGACTTGTGAAGAGAAAAGCTGCATGTTTGAAAGGATTTGTTTCTTACAAACACACTTTTTTTTTCGCTTCAAAAAGAAATTGATGGACTGGAGCGGTGTGGATTGCTTGTGGATTATTGTGATGTTTTTATCAGCTGTTTGGACTCTCATTCTGACGGCACCCATTCACTGCAGAGCATCCATTGGCTAGCAAGTGATGAAATGCTAAATTTCTCCAAATCTGTTCTGAGGAAGAAACAAACTCATCTATATCCTGGATGGTCTGAGGATGAATACATTATCAGCAAATTGTCATCTTTGGGTAAACTACATCTCTCCGCTGCAGGACCAAGGACTGGTGTCCCGTTTCACTGGCACGGTTCCGGCTACTCTGAAGTTATCTATGGCAGGAAGGTCTGTGGAATGCTAAACTCATACAAATGTATTATTTACAGCTTAAGTACAGATGTAATTTTCCCTGTCTATCTACTTATCATCTTGGATGGCCTGAGGGTCCACATCAACAGGAGTAATGATGATTGCACGGATACACTGATCATGTCTGAGGTGATACCGATCAAACGCAACAGGACAGAAGCAACAGGATTGATCTGAAAAGGATACAGTGTCTCGCAGTCTCTCTGTGAATTTGGTTCTCTCTGGTACTGGCTTTGATTGCTGGGTTAACACTTTCTTCCACAATCTGAAAGAAAAATGCATTTTTTTCTCACAACAATAAGTGTAATTCATTGTTCTACATATATTATATATTATAAGACATATTTTGTGTTTTTAATGCTAGTAAAGCTCTATCAACATCTGTTTAAAGTGAAAATCATGTTAATGAAGGTTCAACTGAAGTCAATGGAGCAAGGCATTTACATGAATTCTTCCTTACAAATATGTGTTATTTGAGTTACGATGCTTTCTGATTCATAACTTGGCACTATAACTACTCTTTCTAGGTAGTTAAACCTCTACTTATAAGTCGCTGACATCATTTTATGTTTAGATTTTTCTCCGTTTAAAAATACTACTTCTTGTGTGTATTGTGTGGAAAAAAAAGATTGATCTGCTTTACATCTTCATAAGACTAAAAATATTGATGTTTCACAGACGAGGTGAGCAAGTGATTTATATTACACTAGTTTATGTTAAAATGTATGTCCTGTGACTTTAATTTCAAAACAGTATTTTAAGGTTTGCGTTGTTTCATTTACATCCATTGTAAGTGCCTTATTGTGACATGATTTTAAAGTATAAATGATTTACTAATTAATGTTATGCCTCAAACGCTACTGAAAGTGCTCAGCTTGTAGTGAACCCACAATATTCCTTTAATTTTTAAAGACAAATTCAGACTGACCGCTTCTGTTTTGTTCTCTGTGCTCGCCAAGCTGGTAACAAAGGAGATGGTATCCTACAACAACAACAACGAAGAAAAGCCATAAAAGCTACATTTGAAAATATTTAATATACCATACCATTCAAAAATTCGTGGATGGTAGATTTAAAAAAAAATGTTTAAATGTATTTTATTTGATCAAAAATTTTGTGAAAACACTATTATTGCAAAATTTTATTACAATTTAAAATAACTTCTCCATTTAATTATATGTTAAAATGTAATTTATTCCTGTGATCAGAGCTGAATTTTCAGCATCATTACTCCCGTCTTCAGTGTCACATGATCCTCCAGAAATCATTCTAATATTCTGATTTGCTGCTCAAGAAACATTCTGATTATTATCAATGCTGAAAACAGTTGTTCTGCTTGACATTTGTTTTAGGATTCTTTGATGAATAGAAAGTTCAAATGAATCACATTTATTTAAAATATCAATCTTATATAACATTATAAATGTCTTTACTGTCACTTTTGATCAATTTAAAGGGTTAGTTCACCCAAAAATGAAAATTCTGTCATTAATTACTCACCCTCATGTCGTTCCAAACCCGTAAGACCTTCGTTCATCTTCGGAAAACAAATTAAGATATTTTTGATGAAATATGAGGGCTCTCTGTAACAAGACAGTAATCTTTAACACACTATTTTATGACACGAGCGTCAGAATTTTCATTTTTGGGTGAACTAACCCTTTAATGCATTCTTGGTGAATAAAAGCATTAATATCTTTTGAAAATATAGTATACGTATTTGATTAAAGATCAATTTCATATTTGCACACAACAAAGATGACTACCTGATCATACACATACCATTGCTCCTTAGACTGCACACTTCCTGTTGTGACTTTCCCATCTTTACCAGATGCTGACACTTCTTGGCAGGAGACTGATGGGGAATTATCTTCAGATGACTCTTCAGCGTTTGTGGCTTTGACACACATCTTCTGCTGGGATCGTGTGGAAGAGATCTTTGCTGAAGCGCTCTTTGGGACTGACGGCCTTCCACTGACCACCGGATGAGCAGTCGGTCTCTTCCGGACCAGAACCGGCCGCGTCCAGGGGGCGCCATGGGTCAGATTCCCTCCGACCCGTCTCTGATGAATGGGCTTTTTGCATGTCTCAGACAGAGGGACAGATTCCACCAGCTTTCTTTTATCTCCCTCTTTAACAGTATAATTAATGAGTGCTGTATTTTTTCTCTCATTAGGGTGTCTACTGTCAGGGTGAAGTTCTTTATGAGCCTCAGATGTGCTGCGGATTTTCAGTGCTTTTTTTAAAACCTGCTCCAACAATTCAATTTCTTGTTTTTCTTCAGGCAGAATATCTGCTTTAGAAGGCAGAAACAAAGATCGATTGTGTAATTTATGATGTGGGATGATATGACGAATAAATATAAATAAATGATTTTCCTCTAACCATCTTTAGTACCGATGGCTGCTGCAGTTTCCAGCTCACTGGTTTCTGTCACACGCGTTCTCCTGCAAAAATATGGCATAAATGAAGCTTTTCTAAATAAACTTGAACTTTTTACAACACATGAACATTATACCAACAAGATAACCACTTAGATCACCGCACATTGAGCGTAAAATCTCCTTGCACTGTCGGATGTTTTCAGTGAGTCTTGATTCTTCAGCTTTGCACATCTTGACAGCTTCATCAACAGCATGAAGAAGAGACATGCTCAATATCTGGGGAAAAATACACAATAAGCAAGATTTTAGGTAAACATGTTTATGAATGTTTGGAATTATAGATGCTAGGCCTATATCTGTTTTTTCCCCACCATATTAATCTCCTTTTAGCTTTTATCGTAATTCATTTAAACGGTCACATATATACTGCCGTTCAAAAGTTTGGGATCTGTAAGATTTTTAACGTTTTTTTAATGGAGTCTCTTATGCTCATCAAGGCTGTATTTCTTTGATCAAAAACACAGAAAAAACAGTAATGTTGTGAAATATTATTTCAATTTGTAATATTGTTTTAATATACTTTAAAATATAATTTATCCCTGTGATGCAAAGCTGAATTTTCATCAACTCCAGTTTAAAGTGTCACATGATCCTTCAGAAATCTGATCTATTATCAATGTTGAAACTGTTGTGCTGCTTAATATTTTTTTGGGAACCTGTGATATTTTTTTTAGGATTCTTCGATGAATACAAAGTTAAAAAGAACAGCAATTATCTAAAATAGAAATCTTTTTCTAACAATAGAAGACTTTACTATCATTTTTGATCCATTTAACACATCCTCGCTGAATAAACTTATTCATTTCTTTAAAAAATAAATAAATAAAAGAAAAATGTACTGACCCCAAACTTTTGAATAGTAGTGTATACTGTAACACAAGATTTATATTTTGAATAAATACTGTTCTTTTAAATTTTTTATTCATAAAATAAACCTGAAAAAAGTATCACAGGTTCCAAAAAAAATATGAAGCAGCACAACAGTTTCCAACATTGATAATAAATCAGCATATTAGAATGATTTCTGAAGGATCATGTGACACTGAAGACTGGAGTGATGATGCTGAAAATTCAGCTTTGATCACAGAAATAAATTATAATTTAGAGTATATTAAAATAGAAAGTGTTAATTTAAATTGCAATAATATTTCACAAAATTACAGGGTTTTTTTCTGTATTTTTAATCAAATAAATACAGCCTTGATGAGCAAGAAACTTCGTTAAAAAACATTAAAACTCATACTATTCCCAAACGTTTGAATGGTAGTGTACATGCAGACGGTTTTGAAGCACAAATGACACGAAGTTCAGTTAGAAATCCACTAAAGCGTACTAAGGAGTGCGTACTAAAGTACAGTAAGTCTACATTCAGTCAGTATAACGTTATATTTATGAAGATTCAAGACTCTTATCATGGAGTGATTCAAGTTACCCGCCAGGAAGCGCACGTTAGCGTCTAAAAACACAGCTTTCACTTTCCTTTATCCATCCTTTATGTACCTCCAGCTCGTTGGGGGGTTTAAATGAATCGTATGTAACTCAGACTGTCAAAATAAAGTCGGAAAACGGAAAAATTATCATCAAACTTCCGTGCGCTCCATGTACACAGCTCGACTTCTCACGACGCCAACTCACATATCGCGAGATTGACGCGGCGCGTCGTTTCTATGGAAACAAGTGAGAGCTGAGCAACAGTTGTTTAGCGTTGAGGAGAAAATAAAGTCGTTTAGTTTCTCAACATGGAGAATCACAAAGAGTTTGGGAGAGTTGTGCTGGTGCAGATCAGTGTTCTGTCGGGAAATCAGTTGGTAAGAAGTCACTAAAATCATTAGAAATGTTACAGTCAGTGATTGCATTATTCTATCGAATAATGGTAAGCATAACCGGGGCTAGTTGTCACACGAGGAACAGCTATATAACTGTAGAGTTTTAAATTCTTGCTGTCTCTAGCTATATGGTTTAAAACACTAAATTAAAAACTGTCTTGAATTTGACAAGAAACTGACTTTCAAAAATAATCCTACCATGACAAATAATATTCACTGAAGTGAACAGTGTGACAACTTGCCCCGGTCTCCACTACAACTGTTGCTACAATAAAACTGTGGTAATATTAATTAAATCTAATATAATAATAAAACAAACTTGGCTTTAGCCATCACTGACTTTAAAAAAGTAAATGTATAAATATACTTAACAATAGAGAGATTCTAAAAGCCTCTTGCACTGTTTGAATGTGAATATTAATTTATTATTATGATGTTACAGTAGTAAGAATAGCTGTAGTAGTGTGGCATTTTCGCACTAGTACTATAATAAAATCTTCGCTGTTGTGTGTTTGTGCCATTTGTGATTATTTCAGAGGGGCAGTAGGACTGATTCGTGTCTCAGTTTTGTTCGGGTGGAGTTTAATGGTTGTGTGCTGGGAGACTCACAAAAACTGGACGTTCCTGTGGACAAAGATGTGGTTTACAACTTCACCTGTAGTTTTGAGTGCTCAGAAGTGGCACATACACTGGATGATGTGGCTCATAAACCTGTCATACGTGAGTATTGAACATGAGTATTTTTGTCTCGTTTTCTGGTACAAATATAAAAAAATTCTTAAACCAAGCTACATTTACTTGAGAGGCAAAATGACTTCTCGTTTCTTAAAAAAAATATGTGTTTTTTTTCTTGTTTTAAACATACAGTAAACTCACTTTTGATCATTTTTTCAGACTATTTTTTAAGACTTTTTAAGCGATTTTTCTTAAAAGTCATTTTGCTTCTTAAAGTCCCCATGAAATCAAAATTAAAGTTTTTTGGGTGTTAGTATCAATATGTTAGTCTTAAGGTTATCTATAAGGCAGTGTGCTCCAAAACAGTGACAAAATTCGCATTTAGAAGATATAAGCATTCAAAGCTTGCAGTTCGTCACTTCCGCCAAAACGGCTCAACGTTTTTTTTGACGTCACATCGTACTTCATCTTCTCATCAAACCTTCTGACCAATCAAACGCTCTCTAGAAGCCGAAGCTATATAGAAGCTACACTATAAATAGACGCTGAAGCTGCGGCTGAGATCGGTCGCTTGTTCACAGTGTAGTATTTCCTGTACAGTAAATGGCACGTAGTGTACAATGTAGGCGATAGGGAACGATTCAGACAGTGTAAATATGCTTTCGATTGGGGCAAATGAGGTCTGGTTTCACGTTGTTTCACGCGAACCGCGGCAGCACACAGTCTGATCCGGACTTTGGCTCCGGTCCAGAGACACGATCGCTCGGAGCGGATCATATGCGCGAGTCGGCATATATTAAAAACTTTTACAACTACACAGCCTCAGCATGATTATGACCACTATTTTGTTTTACTAAGAGTTTCATATTGAATCTAGGGGGTAAACTATTAGACTGGCTGTCAAATGCGGCTTTACCGAGCTCAATGGCTCTGACC